TGTGGTTTTTTTTTTTTTTTTTTTTTCCTTTTCTTTTCTTTTTTTTTTTTTCTTCTTTCTTTTACTGGACCTTTCTCAGTAGGACTTAAAAAGGTAGTAAGGTCTGTTTTAGGTGCTTTCTGAAGAAGGTCAAAGCCACTGCTTGACCATTAGGTTAGTCAAAAGATGAGTGACTTGTTTCAGAAACAGAACTACTGGCTTCTGAAAATAAGAAAGCAAATATTTGATCTCCTGGCTGAATTCCAATTTTTGTAATTACATTTCTTCTCCTTAAAACGTTCTCCTCACTTTCAGTTTGGTTTGGTAGTTGTCACATCCTGTTCTCAGATGATTATTGAAATGGCTGCATGCTGTTGTATTTCCACCCTGGTAAGATATGTAGTCTTCAGTGATGTGTGAAGTGATACCCATGTTTATGTGTCTGGACTGTGCCCAGGCTCAGTACGGCTGTGCATGCTGTGGGGTCGTAGGGAGTTCAGATCCCCTGTGCCTTCCACTCAGGCCGGTCACTTCTGCAGTCCTTACACAGTAGCAGGAGCCTCTCCATCGCAGCTGGGGAAGATGCAGAAAGTCAGGTCTCACCTTTGTTCTCTTGCCCACAGTGACGAGTTTGTTCCCCCTGCGCCTCTGCCCCTGAGTAAGGAATGTTGTAGCAGCTTGTGTACCAGAGGGCTCTGACAGCGTACTCTACAAATCTACAGTGCTTGCTAGGACCTCTAGGGCTGTGTACCCCCTCTAGTGTAAGCTGAGCCCATTTTCTGTAGTCCGGAATTTACTCTGAGATGAAAATCACTCTCTGAATGCAAGAGGTTGCTTGCTAGTGCCCATTAGAAGGATGTAAATTATTTCCTTTATTTGTGAGCTACAGCTTTTGTAAGTGAAGAATCCACAGTGGAATGCATTTTGAAGCAAGTTACTTTGGCAAAAGATTTCAGAATTTGTTGTATGATATCAGTACTACAAAAGAAACGATTGGTTTCTTGACATGGTTTTGTTGCTGCTCAAACATACAACAGGATTTTATTCCTGATGAGATGGGAATCAGTGCCTAAGAATGCTTTTTAGGCTTGGAGTTACTGAAATGTCAAGTTGATGTTTGAACAGTGTGGTTAAAGCAGTTGTAGTATCAGTTATGTGAATACTAATCTGGCTTAGTTTCTGATCCTGCATACAGTTGCTTGTGTTCATAACTTTGCTGCGTGACGAGTACCGTGACTTTGTGCTTTTTCCACTTGCTTAAAATGAAGCAAGGAAAATATTGTGTACCACTTTGAGGCTGTTGCAAATATGTGCAAAATTAGCACATTCATTGACCTCACAAATACAGATTTCTTTTGCAGAGTATTCTATGTAATACTAGCTAAAGTATTATAAGGCATACCTACACGCACACAAAAGATTAAATCTGAGCATCTTAGCTCTCAGTTGTTACTGTTTTGTTAAGTAGCACAAAAAGCTGTACGTTTTTGTGCTAAGGTTCATTTGAGAGTCAACCTGCAAATATGAAGTTTGTGAATAAGCCACTTCTACATTAGGATAAAATGGACTTTGGGAATGCGGAACGCCATCCTAGCTTGTGAATCAAAAAGCTATTGTAAACAAAAGGATGCTATTTGTAAAGTGGTGTAGTGTTTTTACAGGGCATGGTCAGAGAATGTGATTTTATTATTCTTTCCAAAGCATCCAGAGGTTTTGCTGGCATTATTGGTGTGCAAAGGATGCCAGGCTGGGCTGTAGGATAAGAACCTCTAAAAATGTGAAATTTACATTTATTGGAAAAATCCCCTTTAGTCTTATTTCCAGATAGAATAGTTCCATTCTGTTTCAGTCGGAAAGGATAGTATTTTCAACATCCAGTGATAGATGCAGCTTGTATTATAATTTAACAGTTTATTCCCAATTGTAAAACTCTGTGTGATTTGGGAGGGAGATATGAAAGTAAGTAAGGAGGTGACAGAGTGGAAAGGGGAGTTACTCTAAGGTCTGACATAATGTATGTTTACAGAATTAACTTGCCACACAATAAGCTGCTCTCAGCTTCTGTGGCTAGCCGGGATGTTTGGGGTTTTTATACCGACAATAATCTAATAATGCAAGTTGCTCGAGTTATGCCTGAGAAGTAAATGGGAGGACGAAACATACAATGGTGTCGCAAAGCTGCATATAAATAAAACTTATTGTTAGTGAGTTAATGAGAACAACTAGGAAAAGAGTACTATAAGGAAGCACAGTAAAAATTTCAGCAGTGGGTTTTATTGTATTTTATAGGCAGTGTTGGTTTGACTCTAGGTGGGTTGCAGTACGCGGCTTGGTTACTGACCGGCCGTCTGAGATCCAGAGTGACTCTTGGCTGGAGCTGTTGGTGAAGATGCTCTGGTGTGTCAGAGCGGTTTCCCACTGGCGGCTGTCCCTCAGGCTGGGTTGTCATGCGACTGCCTGTCTGTGCCTGCTGTACAGGTGAGAGGATGTTCTGCACAGCAAGTGTAGACAGGCAGACACATGACAACTCCGTCCAGCCAGTCCCTTGGAGCCATCACCGCTGGTGTGCAACAGTTTGTACCATTCCAGTTTGGGGGGTTTTGTTTGGGGGGAACACACATAACAGAATTAAACTTTAAAACATTGCGAGCTGTAGAACAAGAACATAACTTGATTTTATTCAGAAAAGAAGCATTTCAGTACATTAGTTGTCATTGTGCTGACATAGATCAGAGATGCGATTTCAACAGACTGGTCACACTGAACATTTGGAAAAACAAAAAGGATTGAAGCCATGGTTTATTTCATATGCAATTCATACAGGATTTTGCCTGTATATTGTACTCACACATAGTAATTTAACCAGATGTTTTTACTCTTCTTGGAAGCACAGAAATACTGAAGTTCAAGATAAAGGATATGTTTATACAGTACATATTTTCTAGGAGCAGATAAGTACAACAATCTTGCATGTTAAAAATAAAAATCTTTCTGTATAAATGGAGGCAACCACTTGCACATTAACCCAGTTAAAGGGAATGTGCTGGAAAGAAAACTGGTTGCATTTTATATCTGGTTTGCTAATATGTTAAAACTGTACACTGATCAGGATATTTCTTCAGTATTTTGCTTTGCATATTATTTAAATTTAGCTTTCTCTCAAAATCTGTACTTTGTAAGAAAACAAAATAACTTTGTAGAGCTTCAGTAAGTTTTTTCAGTTAAACATAGACTATGCTATAGATCAAAAGCATGCAAATAGCATCATTTCACATCACAAGATGTGCTGCTTTGCTAAACTTTCCTGTATATAAAATACACACAGTGACTGTAATCCAATTTAGCAATGACATTTGCAGCATCACTGGGGTGTTGTTTCAAAAGGTCTAAAACATGCCAGAAGCTTAAAAGGGGAAAAAATAATTGTATTGCTTTTCTATACAGATTAAATGATTTTGTTTCATAATAGTGTTCTTAATCACTGTTGCTCGCTAGTGCCTCCATAGGTTAAGCAAAAAACTTATGCTTTCAAACCCTTCTCAAACATATCCCATACAGAATAGCAGCAAAATACTTAAGTTCCAGCCTGAAAACTGATTATAAAAGGTATGAATTTACCAAAAGGCTAAAGGTGGGGATTGTGTCAAGGTTTTAAATTAGACTAATAATAAACTAATATGTAATTATTCAGGTGTTATAGCTCAATCATTATTTTGCCATAAAGAAAAAGATGCATTTTAGCTAATATACAAGTTGAAATGTACAAATTAAGTTTATCAAGTATATGAATAAAATTTTCCTTGAACCTAACAAGATGGAATAAGATATCTTAAAAAATGAATCAAGCACAAAACATGATTAGTTAATTCAGACATGAAAAATTAGTTCCAAGACATTAAATAGTCTTACTTTGACTTTATACTACGCTTAAATTTTTGTAGCTCCTAAGTGTATGCTTTAAGTTGTCATGTCTTTCTACCCGCTTGACCATTTTAAAGAAAAACAAAAATGGCAAATTAGAAATACTTTTAAAACAAATATAAACCATTGCATGTTTTACAGATTTCATCAAATTTAATGTCTGCACTTAGTTGTTAAAGAAATCTAAGATCTTTAGTCTGGGAGAAAATTAGGTCTCAGTTTTTTGTGTTACGGATCCTTCTTGAAATAGCAAAGAATTGTGCAGTAAAATTCATTGACAACCTATAGTATAAAAGGATTGGAAGAACAAAAGTATGCATTTTAATTAATAGGTTTTCTATTAACAACTATCAGGGAAGTTATGCTGGGATTAAAATTTGTAACTGGAAAGATGGTGCGGTCTTTCTAATAACTGTACACAAGGAGAATTCATCAAAGAATCAGCAAAGAGCTTTACATCTTGAACTGAGGCAAATTTATTTTGCCTTCAGTTAATTCACTGGCTGCTACTCATGACTGGATAGTTATCTCCACTTGATTATTTAAAAACTGATATTCCTTGAAATTGTGGTTTATTTGCTAAAAGGGCTTAACATTTTTGGTGCTGTATCTGGTTGATTCATTGAGTCAGTAAAGGAGAATATTTTAGAATACTTGTAACAAAAAAAAAATCAAACCTCATGATTGCCAATATGATATTTACAGAAACCTGTGTTAAGGATCTGACTTTAAATATTGGTAGCTTGGAAGTTGAGTTGAGGACTGTATTCTCTCCAACTGTGATAAAGACTTTTTATTTAAGGGCAGGTTGTTATTTTTAGATACTGTTTTGCAATGCAGAGTAAAATGCAGTACTGAAGTACAGTAGCATTATTCAGGAAAGTTTCATTCTTAACTGTGGCATTTCCTGTCTTTTTGTGGGTTTAAACCTGATCCTTAGTATTATTTCAATTGGGATTTTTTTTTTTTTTAAAATAAAGTACAGTTCAGGAAGTAAAGACTTTTGCAAGTAAAAGTAAAGTTATGCTCTTGATTAAAAGTTATTATTATTTAAAAAAAAAACCACACTAAGATTTAGGGTTTTTTATTTTCCAATCTGCTTAACAGATTTTGATTAGAAGATTATAGTAATTTAACATTCTATTTAGAAGTTTGGAAATTTTATGCAAGTATTTTGCTATTTTGATTATAATATTTTCCATATAGCAATGAGACTTGGGTGGTCTGCAGAAATGTCTGTGGGCGCACGGTGATAGTACAGGAAGGGGGGCGAGGAGCGTGGAGAGGATAGCAGTGTCTTTTAGTCTTCTGAAAGTACAGATGCGTTAAATAGCACTGGTAACGGTAATAGAGAAGATAACATGCAACTTCATGACAAGGCAGAAAAATGTCAAATTACTCTTTTTTTTTAAAGTAACTAGTTTTTTTCACATTTGGATGCCTATTTGATCTATATTTCTGTAAAGTTAAGTGACTTTCCCCCACCCTTCTTTGCTTTTTTCCTTTTTTTAAACATTAAAGAAATACATTAAAGAAAAGGTTTGAAATATTTTTGTTCCTCTTCCCTATTTAATTTTGTTGAGTGTACTAAAAAATATTGTGCTTCTTAAAGATGAAAAACAGTCCATTATATTGAAACACCTATTTAAGTGTTCGTACTGGCTTTAATATGCTTTTCCTGGTTTTGTGCATTCTGTGGTAATATGAACTGTATCATTTAGTTCATACAGTAGGCTTAAGCATTGAGATCGTCAGGGTTTTACAGAACTTTCACCATGATATAGTATGCATTGGATCCTACTAATTTTTTTAGTCATTGCAAAAAGTAATGTTTGGGTTTTCTGGGTTTTTTTTTCTTGAAATATTTGTATACAGCTATCTTGTGTTTGTTGACATGCATATTTAAAACCTCTTGTTTTATAATTATGGAAATCTTTTCTGTATGATTATGATCAACTATAACTTGTTTCAACTAAAACAGCACCGTTTTAAGAACCACCGAATCACTTAATTCACTTTGAAAATGTTTTGATTACTGAGCCGAAGTAGATATACTTCCTTATTCATTCCTAACAATACAGGCT